AAGTGTTGATACATGCCGTAATGTGGATGAATCCAGAAAACATTATGTTGAATCAAAGCAAACAAAAGGTCACACATTGTAGGTTTACATGTGTATGAAATACCTCGGATAGGGAAGTCCAAACAGAAAGCAGACTGGTGGTTGCCAGGAGCCGGGGGAGGAGGGAGCAGGGAGTGGCTGCTTGATGGGATTACAGGGCCTGGACTCCCTTGGCAGGATGAGAATGCTTTGGCAGCAACGGTTGCCACAATCTTGTGACTGAACTAAAAACCACCAAAATGCATACTTTAAAAGAGGTTAATTTTATGTAATGTGCATTTCATCTCAGTTCTTTTTAAAATGCAAGCATGGCTCCTTCGGAGGAGTAAAGGCCTAGAGACTAGCAGGCAGATCAAGAAGTGAAAGCAGCCCAAGCCTGCAGCACTGATATCCCATATGGGTGCTGGTTCGAGTCCCGGCTGCTCCTCTTCCAATCCAGCTCCGGAAGAAGCTGGATTCTTCCCAGAAGAAGCTCCTGGCTCCTGGCTTCAGATCGGCACAGCTCCAGCCTTTGTAGCCATTTGGGGAGTGAACCAGCAGATGGAAGACCTCTCTCTCTCTCTCTCTCTCTCTCTCTACCTCTCTCTGTAACTCTTTCAAATAAATTAAATCTTTGAAAAAACAAAAAAGAGAAAAGAAATGAAAGCAAAAAAAAAAAAGAGAGAGAGAGAGAGAGATCATTAGTACACGTGGGTGTCAGCTGGCTGGCAGCTAAGACAGGCACCTGTGGAGGCCCAGGTCCTTGACCGCTGCTGCACAAGGTAGGCCTTAACAGAAACTCAGGTTTCGTTCTGTTCTTTTCTTATCAGTAGCCCAAAGTGTTATCCTTAAGCCTGTCTGACTATTTTCTTAATTGTTGCAACCGATATATTGCTAAGGAACTAAGATGTTTGGAAAGCAGGACAAAGAACTATGTGTTGTGAACAGATCACCCTGTATAGGTGGCTGAGGCAGTGACCTGCAGAGAATGGAGCAAGAGTGAGAACCAATAATGTAGAACAAAGGAGAACTTGGATGTTAGGCAAACGCCCAGGGAGGGCTTGCAGGACAAGCATGCTTCAGAGGCCTGAGAAAGGGCTAGACTTCCAGCCTTTGTTCAGGTGGAGAGTAAAGACCAAAGAACTGGAGTCCTTTAGATTTATACCAAGAAATGCAATGAGAAACATTGTCTGTGGGGGGACTCTGGGTAGGCTCATAGCCCAGAGCAGAAGGCAGGTGGTCTCAGCCACAGCACCTGCCGGTCCTCGGCGGATTCTGTCTGTGCAGCCACTCGTCTGGAACCTCAGGGAGAGGCAGCACATACAGGTCAAGCTGGTGTCCCCAAACCCTGCTCACAGTTCTTGCTGCTGGGTGTCACTTGTTGGTGCAGGGGAAATGGTGTGAAGACAGCATGACAGGGAAGGAGTGGGCTTGGGCTAAACTGTCATTGGTTCTGATCAGAGGCAATCGTAGGGACCTCAGGAACAGGAAACTCCCCGGTACCCATTGTGGATGATGACTGTGAAGCACAGCTGGGAGACCCTGCAACACAGGTGCCTGGCTTATTCCCACCAGTGTTTCTGGTGCCAGCAGGTAAGAAAAGCAGTTGTATGCTGCTGAATGAGTGAGGGGGACGAGAGGACGTGGCCCTAGCTACAACCTGGCCTCATTAGCCTCGTGTGTGCATCTGCCAAGAAGAGCTGAGAAGAGGGCTCATCTGTCAGGGTGGGACCCCACTCCACCCCCCAACAGGGGCAGGAGCCTCATAGCAGTTCCTTCATTACAGACCACTCAAGGCAACTTTCATTTAGTTTGTTTTTCATTCCTCTATTTCAAGATAATTGGTTATCACTTAATGATCCATAAAAATTTCCTTGACTCACAGAAGTAGAAAGTAGAACAACATGACTTGAGATGTATTTTGGACGTCCCTTTCTAGAAGTTTCTCAGAGACTCAACAAGCTGCAACAACAGCTTCGTCTTGAATATTGTGCAAGTTCTTGGTTGACTTCCAAGTTCAACCTCACTGGCCCGGTGACATGAAGATCAAAATCAGAGTGAAGAGTGTATGTAGTTTCGTATTCCCACGGGTACCGTGTGCAATGGGCCCTCACTGCCAGCAGGATTACTTTGCACATGAATGGGACCATCAGGGAAACTAAGAAATTCCTTTATACAGTAGTGAAGGAGCTAATCTTCCTGACAGGAAATGCCAAACTCACCAGTCAGCTTCATGAGACCTTGGGCAGTCTTGTGCTGCGAAATTTCCCAAGCTCCCTTCTAAGGCAAAGGTCTGTCATTTCATTATTAAACAATGTACTACAATATTGCTAAGGGTATAAGGTTTCCATAGCAACAGTTTGGCGTGGGCAGCTTGGCACCACTAATTAATTGATAAGCTGCCCTTAGACCCAACTGCCCATAATAGACACTCCAAACATGACAGCACCCCCAGTCATGTGAGGCTTTATTGATTATGGTGGGGGAAAAAGCAAACAGACAAAAAATTGGAAGCAAGTTAATGCCTATCCATGGGAGAAAGATGAACAAACCATCATCTAAGTAGACTGTGAGATTTATGGATGTTGATAAAGATTCTCTGCTTGACCAAACTGTACTCAGGCTCCCGAACTTTCTCCTAGGTCCCTCTCTGCACTTCCTTGTAAGATTCAGGTTGCACAAGAACCCTGCCAAGTCAGTTTAACCAGAATCCTGGTATCTGATCAATATCCATATCTGATCAGTCCCTCATCCCCTGCCATTTCCCAGGGGATGTCTGATTGGCCTGACCTGCCTTCAGCAGGAATCCTGATAAGTGACTCATGCCAGAACTCCCCATCCCTGATGTCACCTCTTAATTTTCCATCCACTGACCCCACTTCCTCTTGGCTACTGATTCTCACTTGCCCAAGCTGTGTTCAGAGTTGAGCCCAACTCTTTTCCCAATTGTATGAGTCCATTGCTGGGGACCTCCACACGTCCTTCAATGTATAAATAAATAAATCCTTTCTCCCTGTGCTGTAACAAGTATCATTGAATCTTTTTTTCCCTGAAACAATTCTTATGAAAAGGGGCTGAGCCCAGGATTTGCTCTGGAGGGTGTGACCTGATTCCACCAGGTCCTCAGTGGCCAGGGCCAGCTCCTGGTCATCTCTTGTGTCCCCACATCCTCACATCTACAACCCATGCACTCTGCCTACTCCCTGCTCCGATTTGGCCTTAGCTCCCAGCTAAGCTAGCATCCCATTCGGACACCGGTTTGAGTCCTGGCTGCTCCTCTTCCTATGCAGCTCTCTGCTAATGATCTGGGAGGGCAATTACCCTGCACCCCTGTGGGAGACCCAGAAGAAGCTCCAGGGTTCAGATCTGCTCAGCTCTGGCCATGGCGGCCATCTGGGAAGTGAACCAACAGACAGGAGACCGACCTCTGTGTCTCTCCCTCTCTCTGTCTGTAACTCTGCCTCTCAAATAAATAAATAAAACCTTAAAAAAAATACCAGGTCGGTCTTCCCACCTTGTCATCTGCATGGGAACTATGAATGAGCGCTCTAAGTGCCCTCACATCCTTTGAATGTTCTCAGAGGAATGAGAAGCTCCTTGAGGGCAGGACTCCATCTGATGTGTGTTCAGAACAGTGCTCAGTTCACAACAGGGCATCAACATGCGGAAAAAGAAACAAAGTATTGCACCAAATTGACATATTGGTTCCCACATTGCACAGGGACAGGGAGGGTGAGAAAAAAACAAGGCTATACAATAAAGGCAAAAATAATGATACATTTGCAGATGAATAAACTGAGTGTGTGTGAGTATATGTATCACGAGATTGTTTGTTAAGAAATAAATTGGAGCCAGTGTTGTGGTGTAATGGGTAAAGCCAGTACCTGCAGCACCAGCATCCCATATGGGCACTGGTTTGTGTCCTGGCTGCTCCATTTCTAATCCAGCTCCCTGCAAATGGCCCGGGAAAGAAGCAGAAGATGGCCCAAATGCCTGGGCCCCTACACCCACATGGGAGACCCAAAGGAAGCTCCCGGCTCCTGACTTCAGATCAGTGCAGCTCTAGCCGTTCCAGCCATCTGGAGAGTGAATCATCGGATAGAAGACTTCTCTCTCTGTCTCTCTGCCTCTGCCTCTCTGTAACTCTACCTTGCAAATAAATAAATAAATAAATCTTTTAAAGTAATCATAATAATAAAAATAAAAAAAGAAATCAAGGAATAATCCAAAAATGTCATTTGTGGTACCAAGGTGATGAAATTGAAGATGATGGCTATTTTCTCAGTTATATTTTGTGATAGCTGGGGGAAAAACAATGAAGTTTCAGTCATTGTGGGAGAAAAGAGCATCTCTTGGCAAAGATAGGACAGCTCATGTGACCCAGCTCAACCTCAGCTTTTCCATTTGCTTTTTTGTTAAAGATTTTATTTATTTGGGAGAGTTACAGACACTAACTAAGAAGGAGAGACAGAGAGAAAAGTCTTCCATCTGCTGGTTCACTCCCAAATGGCTGCAGTGGCTGGATCCAGGCCAATCTGAAGCCAGAAGCCAGGGACTTCTTCCAGGTCTCCCATGCAGATGCAGGGGCCCAAGCATCTAGGCCATCTGCTACTGCTTTCCCAGGCCACAGCAGAGAGCTGGATCAGAAGAGGAGCAGCTGGGACTAGAACCGGCACCCATATGAGATGCCGGCACGGCAGGCAGAGGATTAACCTACTGAGCCACAACCCCGTCAGCTTCTCCATTTGTAAAGTAGGCCTTGCTCAGGACCAGGAATATGGGGGCTGCTGTAATATCCTAAAAGTTAATGTTTGCAAAACCTTTAGTGCAACGCCTGGCACATACCAGTTCTCAGTTCATATTACCAAGAAGTGTTTTGCACCTCTGTTTTCATCACTCCAACAATGCTCACCAGCTCATCTGCTTTGAGTGCGGTTTCTTTCTTTCTTTTTTTTTTTTTTTTTTTTTTTTTTTGACAGGCAGAGTGGACGGTGAGAGAGAGACAGAGAGAAAGGTCTTCCTTTTGCCATTGGTTCACCCTCCAATGGCCGCCGCGGCCGGCGCGCTGCGGCCGGCGCACCGCGCTGATCCGATGGCAGGAGCCAGGTACTTCTCCTGGTCTCCCATGGGGTGCAGGGCCCAAGCACTTGGGCCATCCTCCACTGCACTCCCTGGCCACAGCAGAGAGCTGGCCTGGAAGAGGGGCAACCGGGACACAATCCGGCGCCCCGACCGGGACTAGAACCCGGTGTGCCGGCGCCGCAAGGCGGAGGATTAGCCTAGTGAGCCGCAGCGCCGGCCTTGAGTTTGGTTTCTTGATCTCTAAGATTGCCCTTTGGAAACCTCCAAACCCTTGAAAGAAGTCACTTTTTGCCCTGGACAACAGTCTTTTTATCAGTTAACAGCATACGGAGAGCAAGTTCCTGTGGAGGCTTGTCTGTGGGCTCCACTCACTGGCTGACAACCACAGGCCCTGTGGGAATGGGAGCTGAAGTGTCAATAGGGAAGAGACAGAGTAGCAAAGACCCAAGGCACCAGAAGAGCCCCGCCCCGTAGCCTGCAGCAGCCTGGTTACTTGCAGATAAAGCTGAGGACATCTCCAGTGCGGGAGGTAGATGCCCTGGGACACGTGGCCCATCCCTCACCTCCCCCACCTCGAGCAGCTCTGGGAGAGCTGGGAGAGCTGTTCACAGAAAAACTCCCAGGGTAAAGAACACGTGAAACTTTTGTGCATTTTCAAAGAACTAGAGGAATGGAGCGGCTCACCCATTGGGTGTGCCTGGGGCTTTCTTGGTTTTAGCGCTGAACATTTGACATCCTGATAATCCCTGGTCTTACTCGAGTCAGGCTACTGGTTATTTAACTAGAGATTGCGAGGCAGGAGCTGGGTTTGGGCATCACCTTGCGCTCCCTGTTACAATGGTACCATGAGGTGCTATCTCTTGGTTTCTACAAGAGAGCCAGACATTGAGCTAACAAATTTTCTCACACTTGGCAGTTAATTGAACTAGATACACTCCATATGTGTATCTAATCTTCCATTATATAATGACACCAAATATCACCAGGATTTTTTAAAGTGAATGTTTCTACTAGTGGGTAACTAGGTGCTCAAATGCTTTATAGTTATGAAAACAACTCTACAAAGAATTTTACTCTCCACTTAGTATTTAGAAAAGTTTACTCTGAAATTCCTTACAGAGAATTCTTGGGGCTGGGGTAGGTGGAGGAAGTATCTTTTGGCTGTTCCATTTCTTTCACTGCAGTGTCATTAAATCAGTAAAATCACGGAAATTTCTCTGGCCATTTAGCATCTTATTAGTCATTCAACACATAAGCTTGGTTGAAATATATTCATCATTGATTGTACAGCTATCTGATTTGGCAATTTATACTCTATTTTTCTGAGATTATCTTCTCAGTTGTGTGGGCTTCAATAAGGTCAATGGTGCTCAAGTTGGATTATACATTCCAGCTGTCTACACAGGGTACAATCGGCCATTGGTCTTAACTCAGGTCATGGCAGAGCAGTTAGTTGCATATCTGTGGGAACAACATTAAACTTGGAATTGCATTCTGATCAAAGACTCAGTCACATCAAATAAGTCATCACCTGATACATAATGTCTTAAAGGCAGGCGTCAATAGTAATCTGCTTTGAACACTTGAAGGTCACGCGCCCAACCGCTGTCTTGGAGATTATAAAGGGATAGTAGAGAACAAACAAGCTGGTGGAGATGAAGGGATCCAGTCAAAGCGGCAGTGGCTCCATGTGTGGGGCCAGATAACAATGGGAGTGTTGTTGGAGCCTCACAGTGCTATTGAAATGTGGTTTCAAGCCACTGAATTAATTTGAGGGTGATGACTTCACAGGCTCAACAGCAAACATGCCCTAAGGGTAAAAGAAAGGCAATTTTATTTAGCACTATTTTTTTTTTTGCAAAAGATATAAAATAAGAGTGAAGAAAATAAATTTGGTGAAGAAAGGTCTATGAAATATTTTCTTGAAGAACTCAATGAAACCAGAGTGTTCCAGGCTTCCTCGGCCTGGGTGCCAGTGCTGCTATAGGAAGAGGATGCCACACCTCCTGAGACCCCTCCCCATCACCGCATCTGCTTGTGCTGGCAGTCAGCCCCACCCTAGTGCCGCTATTCTTGTGGCTAAGTCCCAGCACCTGCAGGGCCCTGGAGCATGAGCTCTGCTATGCTCCTGGGCTCTCTGGTGGTGGTGCCCTTCCCTCTGATGCTCCATGCCCCAGATCCTGGATGCAAGGCCTTGCTGCCCACAGCCCTGGCTGCTGCTGCTGCTGCTGCTCTCACCTGCCAGCGGAAGAATGCTCCTCTCCCATTCTGGTTCACAATGGGCCCCCTGGGCCTTGCTCCCCAAAAGCCTGCTGAATCCAAGTCAGGAGCACAAGGCTGTTTTGTTCATTACTCACCCAGTTTGACAGATCCAGTTTGTGAGACGGCATTGGCCCACGGTTAGAAATTCCAAGTCGTTCTGCCTAGAAAGCTGGTACCCCTTAGTGGCTGTGTGGTCTTAGGTGCCATTGCTAATCATCAGTTCTGCACTTAAAATGTAGACAGTGCTCACCGGTTTGTCCTAACGACCAATGGTGTGTGTTAGAGGGCTAGGAGAGGCCTACTCACAGTTCTAGGTATCAATGGACACGGTTGTACCACGGCAGATAAGCCACACTCTGCTTCTCAAGATGCCTGCAGACAAGTGTGTCCATTGGGTTTATCTCAGTTCAACTACTCTTTATAACATCAACAACCAACAAAAAGTATTCTTCCCCAAAACTGAACATCCACGAGGAAAGAAAAGCAATTTGGTATGCAAATAACTGCAACAAGTACTAAAAAGAAAGGTGCACAGGGTAAAATGTAGTAGACGCAGGAGACTTCAAAGTTCCTGTAGTGGAATCCAGACTACATTGACCTGTGCTTCCCAAACATCCTTCAACGGGCAGCAAGGATGGGATCAATCCTAGGACCTTCCCATTAATCCACCAGAGGCAGTGAGGAACGAGAACAGCAGAAAGAGGAGTTTGGCACCGAAGTCTAGGAAAGGTGAACTTTGCAGCAAAGTCTACAGTGTAAAATCAAATCAGTAGAGAAAAGATCAGCTGACCAGGCTGAAGGAAGAAGCGGTGTTAAACAAATGACGTGCCCAGTGCTTGAAAGTACACAGGCGAGGACGAGCGTTGCGGCTGCAGCGTCAGCTGGAGTTCAGAAGCCCGGATTTTCTTCCTGTGCAGCGGTCTTCGGTGTTTGCTTGCTTTAGTGTATGCTTAACAAACACATGCACACTTTCGAGTGGACATCTAGATTTCTTTATCGTTAGTTTACAGATGCCAAGAATATACTTTCCAGGATATTGTGGACAGTATATACGAGGGAGACAATATGGGAGAGCCTTTCAAAAAATCTATGAAGTCATGGTGCAGCAGGTTAAGCCATACATCCCATATAGGGGTGCTAATTCAAGTCCTGGCTGCTCCACTTCTGATCCAGCTCTCTGCCGAAGTATTTGGGAAGCAGAGGAGGATGGCCCAAGTCCTTGGGCTCCTCCCACCTACAGGGGAGACCTGGATGGAGTTCCTGACTACTGGCTTTGAGCTCCCTATTCCCGGATGTTGCAGTCACTTGGGGAGTGAACCGATGGATAGATCTCTCTCTCTCTCTCTCTCTCTCTCTCTCCTGTTCAAATAAGTAAATAAATAAATCTTATCTAAAAATTTGTGGAAAAAATCAGTTAAAAGATAATCTTATTTTGGTGCTGAAAATTTGAAATGCATGCATATGGGCATTTTTGTCAAATTCTCTGAAGCCCATTAGGATCCTCTCCTTTAAGAAAATCAACTACTGGGGCCGGTGCTGTGGTGTAGCGTGTAAAGCCGCCGCCTGCAGTGCCAGCATCCCATATGGGTGCCAGTTCAAGTCCTGGCTGCTCCACTTCTGACTCAGCTCTCTGCTATGGCCTGGGAAAACAGTAGAAGATGGCCCAAGTGCTTGCCCCTGTACCCGCATAGGAGACCCAGAAGAAGCTCCTGGCTCCTGGCTTCAGATTGGCACAGCTTCGGCCGTTGAGGCCATCTGGGGAGTGAACCAACAGATGGAAGACCTCTCTCTCTGTCTCTGCCTCTCTGTAACTCTGTCTTTCAAATAAATAAATAAATCTTTAAAAAAAGAAAAAAGAAAATTAACTGCCTTTTAACCTCCTTTGCCAAAGCCAACCCACCGGCCAAATCCAACTTACAATCTGACAGGAAAGTCTAATTTTGTATTTTAAGTCACACAAACACAGTATCCAGAGTCCCTGGGGAAGGAGTGCTAACAAGAGTTTGGCTTAGGCGGCAGGATCCTTCGCGGGCACTGGTGTCTCCCACTGTGTTTGGCTCCCTGGGAGTGCAGAGAGCCCAGCTGGACTGGAAAAAGCAGGAGGCTCTGGTGACGTGGCAGAGGTGACTGCATGAGAAGCTGGGAAATGCTTGTAGACCAAACACCCAGGGGCAGGCTGGCTGCCGGAGGAGCCATGCTCAGGGCGAGGACCTGGACAGGGCTCATCCACAATCTACCCAGCACTGAGGAAGCCCTGCGAGATCTTCCCACACCCCGAGGAGGCTGCATGCTCCAATCTGAACATCAATGCCTTAGGTTCCCTCAGGTTCACCGTGTGTGCCAGAATCAAGTGAATTAAGAATTACAGCATAAGGGTAGATGATAGTAATGCTAAGAAAATCTTCCCAGAAGTTGGAAATAAAGCAAAGAGATGCTGTTGCTATCCATTGTCCAACAAGCCCCCCTCTGGGCCCCCTGACTCTCTAGGAGAAAGTTTTGACTATTTATTTTTGACAGTTTATTATAGATTAGGTTCAGATGTCGTACAGCCCTGTAAAGTTAGGCATCATCTCCTAAGGAACTGCTGAGTTTTCCTTTCTGTGGTGGACAAATGAGGCAATCCCAAATGTTACAGTTTAATTGCTTTGTAGGGTATTAACTAAGCCTGCTTCTAATTTAGTGATTTTAAGTCATCATTCCATTTTGTTTTTATTCATAATAACAATCCCAGTTTTTCAATTCTCTCTTGAACCCACTTTATGAGTTCCTTCATCCATGAGATAAATGCAAGGTTGGCATGTGCTCACTATCTCTTGGGTAAGAATTACGTTGCAACACCCAGGAAATCACATGTTGACAGGAAAACAGACACAAAATACAGAGAAGGCACAGGCAGGTGCTGCAGCAAAGGAGACATGGAGAACACTCAGTGCAGAAAATACTTAGCTGGGTTCTGTTTTTTGTAAGATCTACTTATTTATTTGAAATATAGAGAGAGGGAGGGAGAGAGAGTTTTACCTGCTGGTTCACTCCCCCAAATGGCCACAACAGGCAGGGATGGGCCAGGCTGAAGCCAGGAACCAGGAAGTCCATCCAGGTCTCCCACATGGGTGATAGGACCCAAGTACTTGGACTGTCTGCCATTGCCTTTTCTGGCACATTAGCAGTGAGCTGGAATGGAAGTGGAACATCCGGGACTAAACCAGTGCTCTCATATGGGATGCTGACCACACAAGTGTTATCTTAACCCACTATTGGCCCATTTTTATTTTTAAAAATATTTTATTTCAGAATATCATGACATTTTCAAAACAAAAATTATGAGATAGCAACACAAAGAGCCCACACACATCACTCACTCCACCTCCCCCACCACTAACACCTCATATTAGTATATTTGTCCCAATCAGTGAACCACACCTTGAGCTGGGTCTTGAAGTATCAATAGGCATGGCATTAATGCTGGGGGGCAGGGGGAGAGCCTCACAAGAGGTGGGGAGAGCAAGATACAGTGGAGACGGTATCAGATGAGATGGAGAAAGGGAGCAGAGGCCAGCTGCCAGGCCACACAGGCCATGCCAGTGGGCTGGAGCCTTATCCTGCATGACAACAGGAGACCTTGAAGGAGTTTCAGCAAGCAAATGGTACAACAAGATGGATTTGTGTCTCAGAAAGAGCAGAGGTGTACGTGACAGTGAGGCCTACAAGAAAGATAGAAGAGTGCTGAGCAGTGAGAAGTTAAGAAGTGAGGCGGCAGCAGTAGTATGGATCTGGAATAAGTAGGGCATGGCAAATATTTGGCTTCAGGCCTGGCAGAGACAGGTAGGAGGTAAGTGAGGGCACAGGTGAAATTTGGTAGTGATCGCGTGGGAGTGGAGAGGAGGAGTGCCCTACATAGCAGAGTCCTTGCTTTGGGCAGGGGCTCGTTTCACCACTAATGTGAAGAAGACAGGGGAGCAGGAGTGGTGGCATACATCTGTAGCCTGTGAAGCAGGGAGGAGGCCAAGGACAAGGAAAAAAGTTCTTGAATTCTTAAGTTATGTAGCTCACACACACTGTAGAGTAGACCTTTTGTCTGCTGGGGTCCCATAGAATTCCACCCTGAATTCCAACATTGCACACAGAACACTTGCCCACTCCATGTTATTCCGAATCGTCTTGGTAGGTGTAACGGCCCAACTTACCTCTTGGAAGGCAAATCACATCTTCGTCTCAGCCTAGTGCTGGTTGAAGTGCAAGGAGTAGAGAAGATTCTGAAAGAATAATTCTCTCTCTAAAAAAAAAAAATCCAAATATAGTGAATCCTGTCAAACAGAACTGACAGCTCATAGTAAATACTGAAAGTAAGTTTTTATTAGAACTTTACTTTAGAGCAAAATCTATGAAAATACATTTATTTTACACATTAGGCTATAATTGCAATTATGAACTAGTGCTTGAAACAAACAAAAAGAATGGAAAGTGCCTTAAATATTTAGACAGATACTGTATGACAGCTTGACATCATGGCACCTGAGACAGTGGCAGGTGCAGAAGCGGGACAGCAAGCACCACACAGAGGCACAGCTTGGCAGGTTTGGGTCTGGATGGCCACGTCACCTGGGGATCTACTTGTGTGCAGACTTGGCCAGCATCAGGGAACACCTGTGTGTTACTAAACAACTCAACTGCGTCACACCTTTAGAAAGATTTGTCACATAAAAAATTGATCAACTGGCTAAAATTCCCCCTTTTTTTGGTGATAAAACGATCAGAGATGTCATATTTAGGGAAATTGAACGATTCTGCGTGGTCTTTTGGTGGACACACAATTCCAGCCATTGTCAAAACCTGCAGAATTGCACACACAAAGAGTTAATGCAGAATGCTGCATGTGACAAATGAACTTAATAATATTACAAATGTATGAGAGAACCTCACCAAATGGGAAGAGGGAATGAAGTTGATTTATGTAACTTTGGAGAACTGTTTTGATTGGACTCCATAAAGATAAAGATTAAAAAGAACATGACATAAACACTATTCTTTTTTTAAAAGATTTATTTTATTTATTTAAAAGACACAGTTACAGAGAGAAGTAGAGCCAGAGAGAGAGAGAGAGAGAGAGGTCTTCCATCTTCTGGTTGATTCCCCAAATGGCCTCAGCAGCCAGAGCCAAGTTGATCTGAAGCCAGGAGCCAGGAGTTTCTGCCGGGTCTCCCATGTGAGTGCAGGGGCCCAAGGACTTGGGCCATCTTCTACTGCTTTCTGAGGCCATAGAGGAGAGCTGGATCAGAAGTAGCCAGATCAAACTGGTGCCCATATGGGATGCCAGCCATGGTTTTAACCCACTGTACCACAGCACTGGCCGCAAACACTATTCTTTGGTTGGTAAACTTGTTTACACAAAGTTGGAAATTCTGAAACAAACACCTCAGTAGTATATTAGGTGAACAGAGAAGTTAAATATATATCTAATAAATATATATATATACACATATGTATATACTCACATATATGGACATGAGGGCTTTAAAATTTCATGAAAAACATGCATTATCTTTTAATTCCATTTTCCACAAACTTTTTGAAGCCCTTATGTGTGTGTGTGTGTATGTAGAGAGAGAGAGACAGACAGACAGACAGACAAAGAGACAGGACACGGAAGAAAGAGAAATGTGTCAGATTCCCTCCCATCAAAGAAGATTCAAATAAGCGGCCAGCGCTGTGGCTTAGTAGGCTAAGTCTCCTCTGCCTATGTTGCTGGTATCCCATATGGATGCCAGTTCGTGTCCCACCTGCTTCTCTTCTGATCCAACTCTCTGCTTATGGCCTGGAAAGCAGCGAAAGATGGCCCAAGTGCTTGGACCCTTGTACCTGCGTGGGCGACTTGGAAGATGCTCCTGGCTCCTGGCTTTGGATTGGCACAGCTCCATTTGGGGAATGAACCAGCAGACAGAAGAAATTTTTGTCTGACTTTCCCCCTGTAGCTCTGCCTCTCAAATAAATAAAGAAAGAAACCTAGAAGAAGAAGAGAAAGAGAAGGAGAAGGGGGTAGGGGAAAGGGAAAACCGGGGTGGGGGGAGGAGGGGAAGGAGGTTTCAAATAAGCAAGGGAGGAAGAATGAAATGGGCTTATGGGGCTGAATTAGAACTAGAGACAACTGGGGCCAGCGTTGTGGTACAATGTGTAAAGCCACTGCCTGCAACACTGGCGTCCCCTGTGGGTGCAGGTCTGAGACCCAGCAGCTCCACTTCCTGTCCAGCTCCCTGCTCATGTGCCTGGGCAAGCAGTGGAGGATGGCCCAAGTGCTTGGGCCCCTACACCTGTGTGGGAGACCTGGAAGAAACCCCTGACTCCTGGCTTCAGCTTGGCCCAGTCCCAACAGCTGTGGCCATTTTGGGAGGGAACCAGCGAATGGAAGACTCTCTCTCTCTCTCTCTCTCTCTCTCTTTCTCTCTCTCCCTCTATCTCTGACTTTAAAATAAGCAAATAAATATTTTAAAAATAAAAGAAACAGAGACAACAGGATGAACTGATATTTAAACACGCACAGAGATAGATATATAAGTAAATATATATGTGCATATACCCAAGAGTGTCAAAACATTGATGTCTCTGAGCAACAAATACACACAGCACCCAGATCTTATTTCTGAATACCATTCTCTAACCAAAAAAGAAAACAAAACAAACCCAGAAATGGCCAATTATAGGGCTGAGTAAGAAATACACAAGATGAACCTGGAGCATCTTATAATGTCAGGAAGTAATGACTTTTTTAAAAAAAAAATTAATTTATTTGAAAGGCAGAGAAACAGAGAGAGAAAGGCATCTTCTATCCCATAGCTCACTCCCCAAATGGCTGCAACAGCCAGGGTTGGGCCAGGCAGAAGCCAGTGGCCTGAAGCCACTTCCAGGTCTCCCATGAGGGTGCAGGGGACCAAGCAGTTGGGTCATCCTCTGCTGCTTTCCCAGGCGCATTACCAGGGAGCTGGACCAGAAGTAAAGTAGCTGGGTATCCAACCAGCATCCATATGGGATGCCTCCAGCACAGGCAGTGGCCACAATGCCAGCCCCAGGAAGTAATGAAGTTCTGAAAAGAAATGATGATTTGTCAACAAGACAGGAGAAAACTGTCACATTGTAAAAGTGCTCACAATGGCATAAGATGGAGCTGGGAAAATCTGAGCAACAGATTAACATTATAAGTCTAGGCTGACAGGCTGACCTTTTTTTAATTTTCCTTTCAAGACTCTCAAGATATTGTTCAGTTGCCATCTAATGTGCAATGTTTCCTGCGAAAACTACACTCTCAACTTTGCTCTGTATATAAGGTCTTTTTCTTGGGTTGCTTCTAAGATGTTCTGTTTACCCCTAGTCTTTAAGCGATTTGATGACGATGTGCTATGGTGTACGTAGCTGACTTCATGTTTCTTGCTCCCGGACTATTGAACTTGGATCCACAGGTTTGCAGTTTTCATCAAGTCTGCAAAATTTTAGCCGCTGTTTCTTTCAACACTGTGAATCCTCCTCCCCTTCTCCTTTCAGTTCTCAAGTTAAATTTTAGGCTTAAACTCTCACTTTTTTCCAGTCTTTCACTGCATTACATTTTGCATAGTTTCTATTGTGGTTTTTAAATTCGCTCATCTTTTCTGCCCCGTCTACGCCGTCACTGTTTCCATTCAGCGTCATTTTCATCTTAGACATTGTATTAAACAACAACTCGCATGGAAGTCACAGCTGAATTTCTCTATGGAAACTGGAAGGCTGATTTGGTTTCTTTTGGAGCAGTCCTGGTAGATGTGATGGTTACCTTCCTTACTGGAGTGTTCCCAGGAGCCTGCAGGTCTGGGCACGTGGGCGCAGAAGTGCTTTGGGTAGGGATGTGAGTGCACTCGCCCACCAGGGTAAAGGGCTGGGGAAAGAGCAGACATGCCAGGCACCTGGGGAAGTGGACTCACACGGGTGGTGGGCCCTGGTGTGTTGCTCCTGCACTACTTTTGTTTTATTGAAGTTTGTCACAGTTCACTCATAAAACCGCGGCAATTTCTCTTTCAAGCCCGAGTCCACCATCAGCATGCCTGTCTCAGAGCAAATGGCACTCTTTCCCGCAGGAGTCCGGGCAGCCTGGCTGTCCTAAGCGTGTCTCTGTTAACTGCCCCTCAGCCAGTGCCGCTGGCCTTCTGGGTCCTTTTCTCTCCATGACCCCATTCCAGTCACTCACAGCCCTCCTGGGTGGCTCTATTCCCTCTGTTCTTGCCTTCCTCTGATCCGTTCCGCACAAGGCTTCCAAAAGATCTTTTAAACATAAATTCAACTGTGTTTTTCATTTCTCTGCACTCTCTTATGGCTTTTCATTGTTTTCATTAAAATGCCCTTTAGGTGCTTTATGACTGACCCCTGCTTAGCCATCCAACTTCATTTGATCTCATTTCCCTCCCACTCACTATTCTGACCCTATCCCCCTTTCTGTCCTTGGACAGTCAGGATGTAATACACCGTCTTCCACTTGAAACATCCTTTTTGCTCTGCTTGGAAAATAGGTGATGCCTCTTATGAGTTAGGTCTCTGCCTGTCATGTGTTGAGGATGCCCCAACTACCCTACAAAGAAGAAAATGCTCTCTGTGATTAATTCCTGCCATATCATGTTTATTTCTTCATTTCTTTTCTTTTCTTTTTTTTTTCTTTTTTTTTTTTTTTTGATAGGCAGAGTGGACAGTGAGAGAGAGAGAGAGACAGAGAGAAAGGTCTTCCTTTGCAATTGGTTCACCCTCCAATGGCTGCCGCAGCCGGCACATCGCGCTGACCCGAAGCCAGGTACTTATCCTGGTCTCCCATGCAGGTGCAGGGCCCAAGCACTTGGGCCATCCTCCACTGCACTCCCTGGCCACAGCAGAGAGCTGGCCTGGAAGAGGGGCAACTGACAGAATCCAGCGTCCAACCGGGACTAGAACCCGGTGTGCCGGCGCCGCAAGGCGGAGGATTAGCCTAGTGAGCCGCAGTGCCGGCTCTTCATTGCTTTTAAAGCAAGCACACTCTGTAAATGTATTCTTTAAAAATATTTGTTCATTTAATTATGTTTTTAACATCCACAGAAATGCAAAAACCTTGTCTGTTTTAGACTTGTCTGTTTTAGGCTCAGCAAAATCCACTTTTATTCTTCATTTGGTTTTCCTCAGAGGCGCAATGGTGAGCAACCACACTCCTTAGTTCAGTGCAAATTATTATTATGAGTCTGCACAAAGTCCTTCTCTTGTATTATTTCCTAATTCACCCCTAGTCCATATTGC